CAGCGCTGAACTTAAAGTCCTGCTGTGATTCTGTATTGAGGAGCAAAGAAACCCAATGGGTCCTCAAATACATGTACTTTAGTCTGCTCCTTTATAATAATTTCTCATTGATCGCTTGAATTTTTGTTTCTCATGCCTTAGCAATTACATGCACATTTTAATACAGCGGAATGCACAGAAACAAACTGAGCAGATCAAGTGTGAAATTAACGCAGATTGTGGCCTGGTTAACATTGTGTTTATGGATTCTTGTGTGGTCAGGAGCAATGAGGGATTTAGAGTTTATTTGTTTTTCTCTGATTGTTATTGACCGAGGGAAGACCACTGGTGTATGAAAGTGTAAGAGGGGCTCCTGGAGAGACACTTAATAGGCACATGTGGGAATTATATGTGATTTTTTTATATATATATATATATAAATTAATTTGAATCATAATTTCCCCTCGCTGATAAATCTGTCATAAGGAGACGGCCAGAACTAAGATGAAGTCAGATAATGAACTTCCGATAAAGGTCTATGTGGTCATGGCCTTTTTTCTTAAATGAATGATTCTCACATAGTTTAGTCTCATTCTTAGTTTTTCTGAGGACGGGGGAAACCAGGTCATAGATGGTTTGAGAGTGCATTTATTGGCTGGCTGCAAGCTGGAAGTCCTGCATTTCAATGAGTACAGAATATTTCTCCAAGTGATGACCAGAATCTCTAACAGTCAAGTTTTAGACTACCTGTCCACCAGTCTCTCTTTATAAATCTGCCAGTCATGGTTGTGAAGTTTTTTTTAAAAGTAGTAGTTGTTTGTGGTTGATGAATGTAGGTGTATGAAAAATAACATGTTACCTATTAAATATGTTAGTGCATTAAATGAATTTCTGATTTAATGCGTTTTCTCAGATACAAAGACAAAAGGCTGTCTGCCTCATTCCAGACATATTTGCTCTTGCTGTCGAATGTTTACCTTTGTTAGTTTGTGAATTCAAATGACCTTCCCTTGTCTAGTCAAATCAAAATAACTTTCAGAACTGCATCATATTAAGTTATTAGTATTCTGTAATCATTTATTCACTCTCGTCTTTCCAACCCCGTATGATTATCTTTCTTCTGTGGAAATTCTGTTCTTACATAAATCTTTGATATAATTTATATATTTGTTATGCTATAAATATAAATGAGTCTGATTCTAACTCTAATGCACATTATTAAATGAGCTGGGATGGTTAGTCGATCTTGATGTCCATTTCTAAGGTTCAGATGCACAAAGACCTTTCTGAGAGCGACTGATCTGTCAATGTACTAAAGGTTAGGCTTTGTACATCTTTGCTCTCTTTAGGGCATACTTGGATTACACTATGGAGATTTCTTCCCCCCTCAAGCACGCTCAAGGCCATTTTTTTTTTTATGCTGGTTGCATTGGAAAATATAGCTACTGAATACCAGTGGCTGCGGAGGCACCTAGCCTACCAGTTGAAGAAGAAAGAAAGGCTATCCTTCTGTCCTTTTTTATCCTTCTGTCCTTTTTTGCTGCAGCAATTGCACATCCAATGGTGCGGGCCCCTCTGACATGCTAACATAGAATAATCTCCCAATCAAACTTCGCTTCCCGAAAGTTATAAACTGCCTCCGGAACCCATTTAAGGTACAAAAAGTGTTTTTTTTCGCTCAGCTGAGCCCTCTTTGTTGCTGTGTGGAGCAGACTGTGTCAGTCACCTCTTCCTGAACGTCACTCAGTCACTACAGTCTCATGAGGAAAAGCAACTTTTTGATATAAAGTTTTTCTTGTTCCCGAATACAAATATTTTTAAAGTATTTGTTCGAAATAAGTATTCGTAAAAAAACATGTTAATTGTGCCTTTCCAAATACCGTATTTGGGTTCGGCTCCACCCCTACTCTCCACTAATAAGTGGTGGGCGTTCTGGTGCAATATGGCTGCTGTCGCATCATCCAGGTGGATGCTGCTCATTGGTGGTGGTGGTGGAGATCCCCCCCCCCCTATCTAAAGCAGGTTGAGTGCAGAGAAATGTTACAAATATATAAATATAACAAAATATGATTTATTATTTTTAGTTATTATTATTGATTGCATTGAAGATAAAGATGCCAAAAAATGGTAGTTAACACTCTTTTCTTTCACCAGTCAGAGTGTAGAGCTGAAAGTCTGTTCAGAAGCCCATGCTGTGCTACATTCTGGTATAAGTTCAATGCAGAAGCAACAACAGTCTTCCATACTCTTTGACAGCTAGGCACACATCACAAACTAATACAGGTTAATTGCTTCCCACCTTAGCTGGATAATTCATAAAGCCCTTTTCCGTTCGCCTCCAACACAAGACGCCTGGTGCTCCCAGGTGCGAACAACTCTTGGCATTGAGGAGTTTGGGGTTTAGCTGAGATTTCACACCCACCCACCTCGAAATGTGTGGACTGCAGTGATGAAGGGGAGTACAAGGATGCTAATACATTTGTCTGCTAGATCACTGGAGAGAGAAGTATCAAAGAGTGCTGCTAATTGCAGTGCTCCCTTCATACATCATTGAGTCAAGTGGAAATAATTCAACGTTGCATTCGGATTTGTTTTGTTAAAAGATCCCCTGACACCCCGGAGGAGGAAGAAGAGAAGACAGAAAGGGATGAGTGTGAGGGGAGGGATGTGTGTGGAGGAATTATATACTGAGCTGAACGTTATGCTGATTTGGGTTTGTATGTGCCATGTTTTTGTCTAAAGATTCATAAGGGAGGAGGGACGGATGAAAAGAATGTAAACCTGATTTATCTTGAAGTTGGCTTTGATAGTTGTCACAGTATATACATAGAAAAAAAAATACAGAGTGATTGCATAAAGCATTTGGACACTTAATAAGTTTATAAGACACTTACAAGCCACATTCAAATGTCTGAACATCTCTACGTTAAATAACAAAATATCAAACCAAGGTGCATCCGCTATGTATCCATCCATCCATCCAACCATCCACCATCCATCCATCCAAATAATTTCTATACACCTATACCTTTATATATAACTTTCTAAAGCAGTGCATTCATACTTTGCATAAATACACAGCTTACATTTTGTGATAGATGCTGTCAATGCGTCCATACATTTTATATTTAAACATACAAAAATGGATGTTTAAATGTTACTTGAGAATATCTACCAATATTTAAATGAGATCAGGTTGTGTGCGAAACTAGACTTTATATTATATTATAATCATATCACCAGACAGTATTGAACTGTAGTTCTGTGGTTGAACATGTGGTGTACACTAAATAACTGATGTAGAAAATCCATTGAGAGCACTCTGCTTGCCAAAGTGCATTTGATTTGTTTAACATAACTGTGTGTCCTATTAATTCAACTGAACTGTCTTTCCGAGGTCTGATTAATATTCATTAAATATACTTTTCTCTCCTTTATTTTAGCAGATGTTATACTAAAACGAATGACATGTCCATGTATTCACATAAAATGCATGAATATTTCTCTCTCCTTGTCCAAGCTTTTCAAACTTCCACTCAGACTGTTAAGCCGCTGGGACTTCCTAGAAGGGTAGAAAACACCTCAGAAGACTCGCTTTCACGTGTTCACTCACTTTACTCCCACAGCTGTCACAACATTGATCCCTCAACACACCATAAGCATTTCCCTTGATAGACATTCCTCACTTCACCCGAGCAAACCATGTTCACCTTAGAGAGAATTTTTTGATGCTGACTTTAAACTATCTAGCTACCTAATTCCCTGTGGATAAAATCATGTGGACCAGTTTATTTATTAATATATCTGTTGGCTAAAAAAAGTTAGAAGGTAAATTATTTTGTATATCCATGCACAAAAATACTGTTGTCTCTTTGTTTGGTTATGCACAAAAACACTGGTGTCTCTTTGTTTTGGTTGCTTGTGATCAGTTAACTTGATCCTCTCAACCTATTAAATAATAGATAAACTGCAGAGTGAATTTGAATAAAACGGGAACACAGCAGTGTGAAATAAGCTAAATTAAAGTTTTCCAGAAGACTGGGAAGATGGATCTAAACTTTTTAATTAGACTGTGTCCACGTACCAACCCTGCTCTGGATGGAGGACTGTGGGATGGCAGCGTAGAATCAGGTAGCATGTAAACAACATGCAAATGATGGATGTGTAATGGACTTGCAAGCAGGGAGAAAAGTAAAGCTTACTATCTGAATGGAAGTCACTTAATCTTTCACACAAGCATGAAATACCTCAATGGAAGTAAACTTCATTTGGTAGGATCTGTGATAAGCTGTGTGTATGTGTTTTAAAAAGAAAGTTAGGCGGAAAAAGCCAGATAAAATCCCATTTAAGAAGATTTGTCTTAATCCTAGCAATTAATCCATGATCACAGTAATCATTAGTGTCATCAGCTGTTCTCTAATGAATCTGAATATTTACATATCAGAGTATTGTTGTGAATTTCCCCAAGACGAGGTTTCAAAAATTCCCAAAACCATTTATTATGAGTGAATGTTTCTGAATTATACAGCAATTGTGGCTGGCGGTAACAACTTTTGTGTGAGCTCTACACATTTCTACAAACACATTTAGACTAATGGCTTGATTGCAAAGCAGCTGGAGGCCATACTCTCATTCCCTGGGTCTCCAGAGTGAGATATTGCATCAATAAATATATGGCTAATGGGTGAACATGCCAGGCTAGGGTAAAACACTTCAATAAGAGGAAGACTGAGGATGACAGCTGAGGGATCCATCAGTAGAGCAGAAACTAAAGATGATTAAATAGCTTGTTATTCGTACACTGGCTCATGGTTGTTCGCGTCTAGGTGAGAGGGACAAAGAGCAGGGGTATATGGCCTCTTTTTATTTATTCATCATTTTGCATATTTTGTCCTTAAGTACTGGTAGTGTGACAAATATGTTCATACTAAAATGTAATGGGAGGTAATATACCAAGAGAGCCCAGATTATGTAGGATACTGGACACTTAAATAATGTCTATTGTTTTTGCTCTATTACAGAAGGCAAGTTATTTTCGATTTGGTGGAAGTGGCAACTACTGAAACATGGAGAAAATGGTGCTTTGTAAGTTGAATGCTTTATGATCATCACTCTTGTGAATAGACGCAATATGTAAAAAGCCATTTTGGGGCACTTCAATTTATTTATATACTTGCCCAACTTGTTAAATCTAGCAGCAACCTTGAATGTAAAAACATTATTAAAAAAAAGTGTGTTCCATTTGAAATACTACCCTTCGTATATTCATCCAAATGTCTGAGTATATAGTGTTTACTGAGGCATTCATGAAATGTATATAAGTTGAGCTACAGCTTAAAATTTCGTTCTTTGCAATTGTTTTAGCTATTCCCTGCCCTCTGTATCGCTATGGCAACTGTAACCATAGCGCGCTCAGATGTTCATAAAGCGAGGAGTGGAATATCACCCACAGCTGCGGCTGTTGAGGTGATGGACGTGTGTGGAGAAGATGAGGCTGAGTGTAACTGACTGATTGATTTACAGTTATGTGTGACACTGAAGGATGTGGGGCCCAGATGTGATCCAAGAAAAGCTGACCCCAAGGACTGTGGGGCTCTCTATGGTTTATGAGGCTGTTAACTCTTACTCTGTGTTCCCCAAAATAGAGCTCTACATGACCCCACAGGTAATAGCATATAGATTTTTTTCCATTAGCCTACTGCTTTTGTATTGACCTTTTACTGAAGTGTGAAGTAAGTGAGACAGATGTTTTAATATTTATTTTTTATGTTTTTATATGTTATTGAAGTCTTTTTTTATGTTTTGTATGTAACATTTTAATAAACATTTTTAAATTGTATTATATTTTTGTCTGAGGTGAACTTATGATGTTCGCTTGGTTGTTACATTCAAAAACATCAAAATGAATAAGTAATAGGCTATTTTCTACCCTAGTTTTGAGCCCAACTCAGAAACGCTCGGTTTTTATGGGCGTCTCGCACTGAAGACTTGGAAGTAAACGCCCACTGCTGTGAGTGGATAACAGTTTTGCATATTATAATGAGTTTCAAGTCACGTCATCGGTGCACGTGGGCGAAATAATTTTGAAAACGTCCAATGTTGTAAAATGGCAACCGGAATGATTCGCCCATACATGTTCGACCCAGAGTCTGTGTGTTGCACAATTCCTGTCAGATCCAAAATAGACGGAACAACACTGTTCTTTAATCTTAATCGGTCTGAAAATCGGTCTCTTGTTTACAAAACTATCCTCGTCATTGAACGTCATTAAAAATAAAGTTTTGCATTCCTATTGGAATCCAAAGGAAGCTTATGCAGCGACTGTCTTCTTCCACAACCAGGCACTGCACAATATTTTGTATTGCTTGGTATCTTGATCCGGTTTGTCATCACGATGCAAATCGGTGGACGGGGCTACCATTAATGACGGAGTATTTTAGGTTCATGTTGCAGCTATGTGAAAAAAAAAAAAATGATCAAAACGTGGGGACGCATTTTTGGTCCTCAGAGGGTTTACAGCCAAGACTGTAGATTATGTATTGTTAAGTGTAATTACACACTATATAAAAAATACTGGCAGGTTTTTAATGTACACTTGCCAATACTATTTCTATATTTCTCTCTTGATGACTTCAGACAATTTCTCACAATATTTTTCCCTAAAGAGTATATGATTTTTCCAGCCCGTTCTCATCCTTTAGCGTCACATAGAACGCTATATGACAAAACGGCGCTATACTACGCACATGGCACCCTTTATCGTTAATATTCACGCGAACCCAAGGCGTCATAAATCCTTTAGCGTAATATGAGACTACCCTACCCTACCCCACACCTAAACCTAACCATCACAGCGCATGTTATATTAACGATAACGGGTGCCATGTGCGTAGTATAGCGCCGTTTTGTCATATAGCGTTCTATATGACGCTAAAGGATGGGAATGCGTTGGATTTTTCTGGTTAAATCTAATACAGATTTACTGTATGATAAAACCTCTTGCATCCAAAAAAAAAAGAGTTTTTTATTTAATTGTATTCATATTATATTTTTTATAAATATATTATATTGTCTTTCTTTCTATATATATTTTCTAATATATATATTATTTATATATTTTAACTAAACTGATGTTTTACTGTAACATATTTACATTTTATTTCTGTTTAAATTCCGGTCATTATTTATAGTCCAGTGTGAGGATGCAGTTCACTGTGATGTGCATCTGTGGTATGAGGGTAGGCGAGTGGCATTCTTCAAACAATGTGCACTGTTGACTTACAGTATCGCATTTGGCTAAAAGGGAAATGAGTTGACAGTTTGACTGCTTGTTTGATCTTATAAGCTGGCTGCTGTCAACAGCTGCACACAAACACACACGTTTATTTTTCATCTGAGCTCATGACTGTATCGAGGTCAAAACATTTCAGACACATGGAATGATCTTTGATCAGACAGAACAGAACAAATAGGTCCTCTTGACTTTTCATCTATTACTTCCATTATATCAGTTTGCAGGAAACTTGAGTTCCAATTTGTAATTGTAATTGAAGTATAAGAAATTAGTTTAAATATTCCGTTTTATTTAATAGATTAGTTTTTTGCACCAAAATGGAAGAAATTTTCCAGAATGCTCTTTAAAATTCAAAACTCTTACAACATATAGCAGGATAAAAGATTCCATCGGTAAATCCTCTTCCTGTCATTCCAATTCTAATTCAAATTCAGCATGATGTGGCCATTTCAAATCCCAGCTCATATACGGTTCTTAAATTCAAACTTTTGCCAACCCTGTGAATAATAAATGAATACTCTGAATGCTATTTTGAACAGAACTCCTGCATAATCTTGGAAAACCCAAGAGAGATGTGTCACACGTGTTTATGTGGATTCCACTTTGAAAAACAAGTCGTTTGCTGAGCCTGGTGTCAATTAAAGCTTTTATTGGACTAGCTTTTAAAGGACGTTTTCAGTTCTTAAACTTATAGGATATTCTTATAATGTGATGACCTCATAGATGTCATAAGCTCAAGGAAAATTTGATTTCTCAGTTCATCACCCCTTTAATTCCAGTAAATTCTGATTTGTGGGTTGTAGGAATGGCATATTAACGTTCTTGATAATTTAATGGAAGTTGGGAACCAGTTCATTATGTATGCGCTCTTAGAAGTACCATGATTCTAACTATGACAGCTGCATTTTTATAGAAGATACCTCAATTTCAGGAATGAGGGATAAATTCATTGCGCAAAGTAGAATTTCAAAGTTCCACCTTGTGATTGTATGTATTTGTTTAGCGGTTTTCTGTCACCTCGGGCCTAACTCAACCAATTCACGAATCTTAAATTTGCAGGATTACTGTTACAATCTCACAAATGGACAGTAAAGCTTTCACAAGGTTTCTGCTGTCACAATTTGCAGTGTTCACCTAAAGAGCTTATGGAAACTTGTTTCCGCCACTGAATAAAAAAAATTAAATAATTGCGACTTTTTCCTCTCACAATTGAGAGATATGAAGTCAGAATTGTGAGAAATAAAGTAACAATTCTGAGAAATAAAGTTGCAATTGCGAGAAAGTTGCAATTTTGAGAAAAAAAATCGCAATTACGAGAAAAAAGACAGAATTGAGACTTTTTATCTAACAATTCTAAAAAAAAATTCTCACTATTGCGAGTTTACATCTCGAAATTCTGACATCTTTTCTCAGAATTGTGAGATATATTAACTCGCAATTGTGAGTTATCAGGCCAGTTCTAAGAGGGGAGAAAGATAATAGAAAAACTATTTTCCCCCCAGAATAGTTTATATCTCACAATTCTGTCTTTACAACACGCAATTTCGACTTTATATCATACATTTCTGACTTTATAATACGTAATTGTGACTTTGTCAATAAAGGAATGTATGTCAATTGTAATTAAAGTCAGAATTGTGAGATAAAAGGTTGCAATTACCTTTTTTATTTTTCATTCTGTGGCGGAAACAAGCTTTCATATATACCACTGGGTTTGTTAATATGCATTGAGAAAAACGTCAGCAATCTGTCAACTCAGATACTGTATGTCACGGACGTCTTAAAATATCTATCACTTTTAGACCATAAATAGTCTTTAAAACGCGTGCTGCATTCTCTTTTACATTACTAATGGTGTCAAATTCTCAGTGTGTGACAGGGCTCTGAGTGACACGAATGACATGGGCTGGAATGGGCTCCGAGGTCTGATAGAGGTGCAAATCCATTTCTGTTTCCGCCATTGTCCCTCCAGCACTTCATCCTGGGTGCGTATCCTCCACAGTCACCTCTCTCCCCCTCTCTCCGTTCTTCTCTCCTTGACATGTTCTTTTTCTCCATATCTAATTTAAAATTGGCTGGTCAGCATCACAGACCTGACCTCTCCATTACATAACTCATAATTGACTTCCTAGAGAATTCAAGTTATTTAAGTGTCTCTTTCCCAAATCAGCAGGTTAGCAGGCAGGTTTCAGGGAATCCGAGGCCGGGAACAAGTGTGGGTGTCTCTCTGTGTACGTGAAAAGCCTTTAATGCAATTTTCTCTGCATGCAAATTGACACATCTTCGCAGTGATGACTATATAACTTAGGTTATGCTTGTTGTAATCTTCATAAGCGTGCATTTGCTGGAGAGGTGAATAATATCAGACTTCAAAGAAATGTAGATGACTAAATGTGCTTCCAAAATGAGTGACTTTTCCAGCTGCAAAAACCCTCCTCAGACCCACACTGATTAGCTTTGTGGGTTGGCCAGGTATGATGGGCTTAGACAGGCTTATTTAAGATAATCTGTGACATTGCATGAGGGAATCGTCCTCACATGTCGGCAATCCTGACAGCCTGCCTTCCTGCAATAGCATACCAATCAGTGGATTGAAAAGCTTTTGGCTTGTTCTCTTTATGAGAAGCATAGAAAGTGTACATCAACCAGAGTGGTGATGTCTTTCAGAGGGGTCACATTTTTGTAAACTATTTTAAAGATTATTTTCTGGCGTATTTGTAATTTGTAGATCAATAAAGTGATAAATAATGACAATATTTATGTTTTTTTTTGTCAGTGCTACATCTGATGGGGATGCACTCAACACTCTGCTGTTGCTATGGTTACTTCCTCTGGGTAGGTAATTGTCATTGAAATACAATACATAAGTAATCATGAAATTAAATAATGTGTATATTTAAATCTGTAAATAATATTAATGAACTATATCAGTAAATAAATAAATAAGTAAGTAAATAAATAAATACTCATACTCTACAAACTATTAGATTTTATTTATTTTTTATTTATACATTTTTGTTTGTGTTGCAACTGACCCCATGAAGGCAAACTCAATTTCTGTAAACAAGCGTCTATTTACCAGCTACATTAAAAAAAAAAAAAAAAAAAAAAAAAAAAACAGGGCTTAAAATCAATCAGTTCGCTCTGAGGAGAATCAGTATTGTGAGCTAGAATTGACAGTACGAAGCCTGACGTTTTTCCATCTTTTCCTAATTCTCTGTGTTAACAAATGTTTTTAATACATGCTTTATGCTTCCTTGTATTTGCAAATGGAGGTGTGGACAAGGATGGTGAGTGAACCGTTTCTTTTGTCTGTATCAACTTGCTAACTTTAGAATTGGCTACAAGGGAAAGATGGGGAGAGGCTGTTCTTGTTCTTGCACTCATCTATTTTAATGTAGTCTCCATGTATGTATTTGTGTGGTTCCTTGAAAACCAGCCCACATATAGGTGATCTGGATTTGTCCAGAATATATACTGCCACATATGCATTTCTCCTTATATGGACTTGTTTTTCTCTTTGTCTTGCTTTCTATATAATGTAATGTACTGTATATTCTCATTGGATGGTTGCAACACCATCCCTGGACAATGTATAAAAGCTAACATACAGAACGTAAAGCTGAAGAAGTTTTGTGAACAGAAATTGGCAGAGATTGAGAATGAGTCACAGAAAAATAGATTTATAATCTATCAATTACTACTCCAAAAACAATAACATTTTGAACCTCTGATTTGAGGTTACAAAACCTCAGATGAGACAGTCCTAATAATTGACAAAACACAAATCCATTACATTCACTGGTAAAAAAAACCCCAAAAAAACCTTGTAACTCCATTAAGCTTGATTTAGGTAAAATGTTAATAATGTAATGACACATTCAGGTGTCTGACCATATATAATGCCACAATACTAACTTGTTTAATTATTTAAAAAATATTTTAGCCGGTTTTTGTCGGTTAAATTTTAGCTGGTTTCTAAGCACACACCACACTGGATATTACCGGTACATGCCATATATTTTCACTTAGATGGAATGCTTTAACGGTGGCATATCCTTGGAAAAACTCCTGAGATCCAAAAGCTAATGCCACCGCATTACATTTAATGCGCTTACATTTCACGCATGTTGGATGCGTCAATGTCACATTTGCATAGGGCATACTATTTGAAATCCTGATAGGTTGACTGACAAAATAAAATTAAACATAATTATAAAATAATACTATTAACTGGTTACCGGCCTTATTTAAGTGATTCAGACACCCCCATTATTCGTACACTGACTTCAACGGAACAAGAATAGAGTATTTTAACCTGATTTTTCACTTCAGCAAGATAACAGAAGACGCTCAGGATCTCACAACCAACTTTCCTTTTTTGTGTGTGTGTCTCAGAATACAATAAGAAGTTAATCAACACCCATTGTAGAGAGTGTCTGTGAATAAATCTCTCTTAATTGGGATATTTTACCCAGTTTTGGAAATGCATGCTATGCACAACATTCCCAATGCCTTATGGTGTTGATAAGAATATAAGAGTGAATTGGGATTTCGGCATTACTAAGATTTCTATCTCATTACTTAGATAGAAAGTCTGAAGTCATTATTCCACAACTAATGGGATGAAAACGTATAATTTACTTGTGTTTTAACCATGAACAGGTCTAATATGTTATCGAAATCAGATTCTAAAGATAATTGTCTTGATTGTCTGAATCATACCTTTTCTTTTTAACTGACTTCCTGCTTTTTGTATTCAGAGAAATATCTTGGGAGCATATCTGTTTGTGCAACAATTATATTGCATATGACCACAGAGTGGACACTGCAAATCAAGAGGCTTTTTTACCTGACTGGATTATGGGGTGTCGACCAGCTCAGGTGCATGTAAATGAAGGCGACATCCAGCTGGAGAGCGGCGCGATGAAGAAGTAGACTGTGGTCTGACATTGACAGATAGGGTGTGTCTCCAGCTATCGACTTGGGCCCCGCCTCTACACCACGTCGCACTGCCCTTTGAAAGGTGCCAGAAAGATGTGCCCTATAACTCAGCAGCCGATTGGGGCATAAGCGGGAGGAGCAGGAGAACTGGCTGCTGCTGATAAAGCTTCGCCCTTGAGAGGTGAGGAAGGGACAGGAAAGGTGAGGAGGGGACAGACATTCATTTGGACATTTACCAGCAGCTCTAAGGATTAATTCAACATGCATCTGCAATCCCATAATTCCCAGAGCTCATCATGATTAGAGAGTTTTCCATTTACACGTGCCAGCATTTCCTATGTGAAATTTCTGTAGTTTGGGGAATGAACATAGGATAGGATTGTTTTGTTTAAATAGTGACGAGGAAAGCCAATTTGTGAAAGCGGAGATGTTAAAAAAAAATCAGGAACAAAAAAGTCTTGCACACTATCGGTCAAAATAGCTTTATTCGCTGCGATGTTTGGTCGTTTGACCTTCATCAGACGGGACACTTTCTTTTGCCTTTTTGTTTTTTGTCTTTTTGTTCTTGATTTTTGATCTTTGTTCTTTTTTTTTTTTTGGTCTTTTCTCGCATATATCTATTACCTTGCAGATGTGCAAGGGTAATTGTTAATAAAAAAAAACAAAACAAGTTAAGCTGATTAGCTGGTATAGTTTGCTGGTTTTAAGCGAGTTTGGGGCACTTATCAGCAGGTCAGAATGGGAAACCAGATTCCTTACGGCTAAACCAGGTAAAAGCCAGCTTAAACAACCTGCTAAGACCAGCAAACCATTGAAATGCTTTTTTACAGCAGTTTATACTATATTTTAAGATGTATATTTTAGGAATATTGTATACATAGGCCTACTTAGTACATATAAAATATGACAAGATATAACAACTATTTGATTTGCAAAATACACATAGTTCCTAATAATACATACTGTATTTGCATGCAATGTGTGCTGTGATACAAGCTATTAAATAAGTGTCGATAACTGTCTGAAATGTGCAGACATGCAGGTAATTGTCCATAACAAATTTCAATCACTTCAGGCAGCTCACTTTTTAGATAGCTATATTTTTAACTTCACCCTGCAGGACCTTTCAATTTCCATTTTTGTCTTCCCATTGTTTGATGGATGATGGTTGTGTTGTCATGTTTTGTTCTTTTTGTTCTATAGGGGAAAATCAGTACAGGGGCAGAAAAACAAAAAGGTTGTTGGAATTGTGTGTAAATTCATATCATCAATAGTCTGTAAGCTGGGGAAATTATAACAAAAGAGTTCACTTATTCTGCACCCCTTCTGCCATCCCATCAAGAGTGCTATTTTGAATCTGTAGGCTTACAAAGCTTCTGTCTGGGGTGATCTGTTTGTTTCTCGGTGGTCTCCCTTCTCACACAACATCTGTAATGAGAGCTATCTGTGGTTGCCTGCTGTGGTTGAACTGCTCATGGGTCAATTTAAATGTATCATATTGCTTACATGGCTAAAGACTGGTTGAAAGCTCTGGGCTGGCATTTGCTTTGGTTTTTTTAATGACATGTACTTTTAGCCCCGCAGATTGAACCCAAAGAAGGACTAATTGGTGGACTGTTGCAAACACCTGCCCTAAAGCTGAATACTGAATTTACAAAGGTTTTTATCAGGACTGGATATCAAAGAGCTCATCAACTTTACTTCATTCATTGATTCTCATAATGGATTCAGTTGCATCCTAATAGAGGAATGCAGTCTAATTTTCTTCTCTGTACTTGTCCACTCTCATTACAGAGGTTGAGAAAAGCCACTGAGCCTTAGCATGATATATCCATTCTAGATCAGTAGATATATACCGTAGATAGATATATAGTTACAGTAGATAGATACAGTAGATGTTTAGATATTATGACTGATTCTTTTGTTCATTAAAAAGAGAGATGAATTGTGTCAACTGTGTTTCTATTCGCTTAAACTGTTTCATTACTTGTTAGATTTTCATCATATTGTGAAGGGCAAACATTGATTTTTCTGCCTAACAGAGAAAGATATGCCTTCTATTTGCCAGACATGCAGTGCAAACAATGAGTTATGTATCAGTTTATGTAACCAATTTATTACAAGCCCTTTTTGGGGAGAAAATCATTTTGCTACTTTGGTTTATTATCTCTGGAGCTGCGATGGTTGACAGGATATAAGATGAAATGTATCCATCACTATATGCAGGCCCATCATTCCACTGGAGTAAAGTAGACAGATACAGTGACTGTTGAGATAGAAATGCTTAAATAAACAGATTAAGAGGAATGATCAGTTAACTTTTCTTTATCCAAAGTTTATCCAATAATAAACTGCGTTTTAGATGAGGGCAAATGTCATTAAATTGTAAAAATAGGTGGAACGGAGCATGCACAATTGCATATCCAATATTGACAGATAATATTAAAGTAATACACACAAATCTCTAATTCTGGTATAAATATATAATGGATCCCTCATCATAGCTTTTGCAGTGTTAGTTATTTGCTCCCCTCTAATTGATGCATTCTACAAATCACCACAGGCATGCAACACTCAAATACATCCTGTACTTGCTCATCTAAGTTAGAGCTCTTGATTTCCCATGAGGCTCATCTTCAATGGTTTGAAAACATGTCACTTTAATTAGCACACCGCTAATATCCATGGAAGATCTATAACATAACACAGAAAGTACCAATTGCTGCTTTGTTTTTTTCTTTTTGCTTTTAGTCTGCTACTCCTTGTGAGGTTTTTGAGAACAAAAGTAGCCTGCTTTAATCTCAACCGGTGTGTTACATAGTTCAATCTCAGAATCAGTTAGATAAAGATTTTTATCAAGGTATCACCTTAATCAGCGGGAGCCTGTCAGACCCTTTTGTCATTGTGACTTTCAATAAGACACCTTCACATATACTGAGGAGGTGTCAAATACACCAGGACGCAGCACATGATTAATATAGTGTGAATTTGTGCAGACATCACCGTCTTCACTCTCTCTCTGAGTGCTGAGATTGTGGTTTGCTGCAAGGGAAATACTATTCCATGTGTTGAATATTTTGTGGAGTGAATCACATTTTTAGAATAAACCAAATCTAGAGGGATTTAATTTTAGATGTGATTATTAATATTCTATGTCTTCTTGCTTAGGATGCCGTGCACACTCTCTATAGATGAACGGAAAGTCAAAAGCAACTCTATGCTGTGCAGGATTTTTTTTTTTTTTTTTCTCAAACCATTGATTTCTTTGCACGTCCATCAGGGGATTGCATACGCAAGTTCATGATGTCATACAGTACCATCAAAACAATGTTACTCAGATTTCCAGCACAGACTTGTTAGCAATGAAGGACAAAAAATGGGAGCCATAATCAAAGACAAGAATCTCTTTTTTTGGCTGTAAAATATTAAAGCAAAAAAAAAAAAAATCAATGCATTCTCACCCCAAGGCATCACCTTTTGACTATATTCTACACTTTAGGCGCCCTTTAACGCTTAAGGGTTACATGATCCTACGGCGTCATCTAACTGACACTAAAGGAAAAGCGTCAGTTAGATGACGCGGGTAGGTTTAGGTCTGAGGTAGGGGTAGGGTTACACGCGATCCTAGGGCGTCATCTAACTGACACTAAAGGGTGCCTAAAGCGTCAGATATTGAAGCATAGCCAAAAAGGTAGGCGACGCCTTGGAATGAGAATGGGCTGAAAAAATACAATTCTGTCATAATTTACTTGCTGTTCATAACCTGTATGGCTTTCTGTTTTGGTTTTCAAAGAAGTTTTGGGAGTTTTCAAAAGGACAGAAGCACTATTAGTAGTATTTGTGCACCGTTTTCCAAGTCTTGGTAAACAGACTTAAAATTTAAGTTTTTTTTTAAATCTTTTCCAGTTGCTGTTAAAGGTGCAATGTGTAATGATTTTGAGTAGGCTATCTATTTACAGAAATGCAGTATGACATCCATAACTATGTTTTCAGTGGTAAAGAACTTAATTAATAAACCGTTATATTTTTGTTACCTTAGAAAGAGACATTTATATCTACTTAACCGCGGACACCCCCTTCTATGAAGGTCGACATTTTATTTTATATAGGCCTACATAGAGTGAAGAGAATGCATATATAAAATATTTTATATATTTAAAAATATTCGCACAAAGACTACTGTATATAAAATGTCACAACCAAGCCTCTTCTTGTAATACCAAAGATCGCCCGTTAGATATACACAAGATGAATTATATCTCATGTTTAACCACTAGACTAGAGACATCAGAACCAGCGGCAAACGTCAGAAGCACTAGTCAAGGTAAGGCTGATCCAGACGGGGTGCATAAACGCTGAGCGCCCGGTGAACGCCTGGATCTCACAACTCCAAAAACGTCAGATCAAATTTTTAAATAGGTGCTATCTTTATAAATAATCCACAGAACTGAGCTTTAAACAACTACATTGTCAACTGAAAAACGATTAAAACTACATTTCGTGACACAATAACAGTAGTATTTTAAAATTTCGCGGCTTTTCTCCTCTGCATGTTACTATTACTAATTATATCATGACCAAATACAACCAGAAACAAATATTCAGTCTTGCTTGTGAAAGATAATTCCACGAGACCTGTTTTCAATTGTGTGGTGATTTGTACAGCCCCAAGCAGCAGCAGCACAAAACAGGCTTTTTTTTAATTCTCGAGATGTATGAGAAAGTTGCCCTCCGTTTATGGCGGCGCCGTTGACGTACGCTCCAGCGGCTAATAGGCAAATGGGTAATCCATCAGCCGGAAGTTGAAGCCTCGCGGGAGCGACCATTGTAGCAGAACTTCACCTGCTGTTAGCATTCCATTGACTCCCATTCATTTTGGCGTCACTTTGACAGCAAATAGTTTTACATCTGAGGCGCCCAAAGACTCCATTTATCCATTTACATATATTCATTTAGCTGATGCTTTTACCCAAAGCGACTTACAGTTATATATGTCAGAGGTTGCACGCCTCTGGAGCAACTAGGGGTTAAGTGTCTTGCTCAGGGACACATTGGTGTCTCACAGTGGATTCAAACCTGGATCTCTCACACCAAAGGCATGTGTCTTATCCACTGCGCCATCACCACCCCACCTATTATTTATTTCTAAAGAAACACAACAATGTATAAAAGGCTCCATTACCTTGTATCTTACGTTATGGCCCCGTAGAAGCAGTTTTTGTAAAAATAGGCCAACGATTGCATCATAATGAATCGACTCTCCGTCGCACATTAGAAATTACCGTATAGACAGAAGGAGAAGCTAGCAGGCAAATGGGGGTGGACGTGGAGGCACAAAGTCCGATAAAGTCAAGGGAGAAGCCCATAGAGAGTCATGGACAGCTAATACTCACCCTCTGGGTCTCTGTGAGATTCGGAAGAGAATTATTCAGATTTCACTTCTGCACAGCAACTAGAAGACATACAGGTTGCTCACGTGACAGGCTCAGTTTGAGCTTGCACAGTACGCCTGGCGATCAGCTTTTAACGGGCTTCAATTTTTTCCGTTGAAATCAATGGGGTCGCTGTGTCCATTTATTGCACAGTCTATGCTAATATAGCGTCTGTATATTTATTATGTCTGGTTTTAGCCACCGTAGCTTTTTC